ATCTTAACAAGAAAAAAAGAACACTGGACAGGGAGAGGGGAACTTGGGGGTGCGTGCTCCCCTCAACTTATCCACTTCTCAAATGACAGTACTGGAAATCTGAGTTGCCTGGGGTACAATTTTGCTTTCATGTATTTGATTTTAGAGTGAACAGCACAACAAAATCTCACCCACTTGGGGATTTCTAGAAGTAGGTGATAATAGATTCAGAACATATAATTAAAACAAGCATATAATTAAGACAAATATATTCCATTAAGCAAATCAATTTTTCCATTAGCTTCAGTAGAAACAGGTCTATTAGATGTAAATAGATTAAAGCTGACACCAGGGTACATGGGCTCAGTTTTGACTTCCTGTTACCATTTCACTTCAGCTGAGCTGTTGAGACATCCTCATTTTGTCTGAGAGTGACAGATCATGAATTTTCAGCCAAATGCTTACAGATTACAGAGCTTCTACCAATAGGCTTAGCTATTGTCCAAGCAAAGATGGATGACAACAGCAGAGGGCCATACCCAAAGATCTGCTTAGACAGGGACTGGGACACCATCAAGATAATTCATTTGGTTATCATTCTGCAGTGTCCCAGTTTAGAAAGGGCATGAAACACTTGACATTTTCATGCAGCTTGCACAGTATGTAACCATATAGTGACTCCAAAGAAAAAAATTTAACCAGTCACGTTCACACATCTTCCTTTTTCATGGCAGAAGGCGGGGGGGGAATCCACTGAATTCAAAGACATTATCCATAAAACTAAGGATTCAAAAGCCCTTCTCAAAGCCCAGTATGTTTCTTCATATCTTTCCAGTTAGTGCTTTAGATGAGCAATTTGGATAGAATTAGGCCTCTAGCATGTCATGAAGTTTCCTGCCAAATCTTGAGAACTATTTTCCTCAGATTAATCTTGGGGCAACTTTCTCTACAATCTCCATAAGCAGAGACAATGCAAGACCATTCTGATACGCCAATAATCATGATGCAAGAACACACAAGAAATGCAGACAGTCAAGGGACAAATTTGGCAAGGAAAGACAGGAAAATTTGCAGAGCCAACATGTTTTTTTCAGAGGGAAACAGTAGCCAAGTGGGAGACTAAGCAGCAGGGGGAAAAACAGATTGCATAGTTTGAAGAAAACGAGGTACCTTTAATACTTCCTTTTTGAAGGATGTCCAGCCTTCCTGGACTCCTTAGCCTGTCAGAACTGCCTCCTAAGGGGCTCTGTCAACCATTCTCCCAAAGAGGCCAAACTCTGCCCTCCAGAAGTCCAGGGTGACAGTTCTGCTGATCCCTCTGCTTACTTCTCCAAGAATTGTCATTGCAATGACCAAGTTGGCATCCAGCCATCACATCATCCACAAGTTCTTCTCTGCGCACAAACAGGTCCAGCAGGGCACCTTCCCTGGCTGGCTCCCTCACTCACCAGCTGTGTCAGGCACTTATCTTCCACATACTCCAAGAACCTCCTACACTGCTTCCTCCCTGCTGTATGGTATTTCTAGCAGATATTTAGTAAGCTGAAGTGCCCCATGAGAACAAGGGCTGGTGATACAGAGCATGTAGATGAAAACTAGAAACAGCAGTGCATTTTTTTACTTGTAGCTAGGTATGCCAAAAGGACACGTATTTGTCCATGTGTTAAGCCAGTCATTGTAAGAAATTCTTGAAGGTCTTCACCTTCATCTTCTAAATAGTTGCTGAAGCCTAGACCTTTCTTCTGTTCTTTAGAACATCCATAGAACTTTTTTATGCATTTCCCATTCAAAAATACCATCTATAAACTTATACAGTAGAAGTATCTCAGCACCACTTCTCTACCCAGATCCATACATGGAGACCAAACTATCTCTCTGATCCAGCCAAAGGAACTCTTTGAAACAGTGTGGGTTAAAACACATGCACATATTTATCCTGTGACACAGACTTCAATAGAAAAGCTTTAGCATCCTTGCCTAAGCCTGACTGACCTTTTTATTATCCAAATCACTAGGAAGAATTATATTTTCCACTGTACTGCTTCTGCTGGATCTGGAGTTTTAGGCAACATACCAATTATCCATCAGGAAGTGAAAAAGAAGGAGCACAGGTTATTTATGAACGTTAGGAATCCTGTCACGAGTACAAGCAGTGATTTTATGGATATCAAGGGACCACAAACCACCACAAAATATTCAAACATACCACATAACCCAACATATGTAACCCCTACATTAGTCAGACCCTGCAGTAAAGTGTTCAGTTCCAAAATGGTTCTCTTACTGCAGTAACATAACATTTAAACATCCTATTGACTAATTTTACTTCTAATTATTCCAGAATAGAGCATTCTAACTAAAATATGACCTTAGTAAGATAAAAAAAAAGGAAACTGTATTCAACACAGCACTGTCATTACAGTGATTCATCAAGGCCCTGGAAGAGTTGAGAGGCAACCTTTAGAAATTCTTCTCTTAATTTAAATTTCTGTCAGTGATATGAAGTGCCAACTTGCAAGATTTAGAGAAAGGGTAGCCCATATTCAGGCTTTCAGTACTTAGCAACACAAGAGAAAGAATATAGATTACTGCAACTTTGGTCTCAATAAGTGACAGCTAAGGATACAAAACTCAGCTCAAAGAATTATAGCATACTTAAACATCCTCATTAAATTTCTATCAGTTTTTAAAGTTATCACTGTGACTAAGTCATTACATCATCTCAGTCTCAACTCAAAGTCCTGAAGCAGGACAATAATGCTCAGCCCATAGTTTTCCCCCCTTTTCCTTTCAGCCTGCCAACAAGTGCCATATGTATTTTCCCAAATGCATCATCTTCTGCTCCTCACTGTGTCACCTGCAATCAGCACATCCAGCTTCTACTGCTGTCTCATCCCCTTTTTACAAATAATCCCTTCATGTCTTTCAAGGGTGGCAGGCAATACTAGGAGAATGACTTCTTACTCTCAAAGGCTCCTTTTTCCTTCCATGTATCCTAGTCTTTCTTGTAAAGTCCCTCTACCTTTTACCTTCTCAAGATCTCTGTTCTTCAGTTCTCCTCTAATAAAAGTGTGAGGGACACCGTGGCCAGGGCACTTGCTCAGCAAGGAGAGGCTGAGAAACCCAAACTTGCTCAATAAGGAGAAGAGTTGGTTTTGTGGAGCTCATCAGTGCCTGGACAGGCAAGGTTGCTGAGGGCCTGGATCATGATAGTTTACAGTGATATGTGTTGTAATGATGAGGCAATGGGCAAAAAAATGAAACAAGAGAAGTTCACATCAGATGTTAGGAGAATATCTCCCCATGGGGAGAGTAGAGTGGGTTGGCCAAGGTTTCTGTGCCATCTCTATATAAAAGGTTTTTATAATTTGTCTGGATAAAGCCCTAAGTAAACTAGTCTGACTTCCCAGCCACTCCTCCTCACCAAGTCAAAAGGTCTGCGAAAACTGTACCTGTTGTTGCTTTACAAAACACGAACAGTGCAACAGATTTCTAACCTCTATAACCCCAGGCCCTCAGAAGCAACATATTCATCAGCAGGAAAAATTTATTATATTTTATTAGGTATGAACATCAGTCACTGATGCAGTAGATGGAGTTTAGACTTGCTTCTTCATTCCAAGTTTCTGACAGCTGTCAAAAAGCAAAGCTGTCACTTGGTTGGACTTTGCAGGCCAATGTCTTGCAACAAAGTCTTTCCAGACTGCCAGAACCATGTCATCAAAGACAGGCCACGTCCCTAAATCTTAGGCCAAGCCAGGTGCCTGTGGTGATAAAACATTCTCCCAAAGGCAGCCTGACCTTGGCAGCTGCACAGGTGCAGTTATCAATCAAAGTTTACAAACAAAGCCAGCCCAGCACCTTCCACGCAGACAGACAGACAGACAGAACGGACACCCCGCTGTTTGGACAGGCAGGTGCCAGTCGCTTCGCCTCCTAGAACCCACTGCTGGGAAACACAGAGCTGGAATTCTGGAGTGACACGGGAACTGACGCACAAAACCAGGGGCCTGAGGTACGGGCTGCTAAAGGACTGGCAAGGTGACAGATTGCTCAGCTGGAGGAAGATCTAGAGGAGAGAAGCAGATCAGGTTGCAATCAGACTTTAAACTCTGTAGCTAGTAAGCAATGTCATCCATTAGGCATCTGTCATCCATTAAGCATCTGAATTTCTCCTTTAGAAGAAATTGGATTCCTGAATATTACTCAAAAAAATTATACAGAAACTTCAACATATGTTGTCTCTGTGGCCCAGGAAGAGGAAAAAAGTTCCAAGATCTAGCAGTTCTATTGACCTCATCTGTTTTAAGGCACATTGCCCATGGCCTAAAGTGGCCTAGGGGATTCCAAATTTTGTATTTAAGGTGGGCATTTAAGTAGAGCAAAGACACAAAGAATAAACTATTCCATCTATTTTTTTCTTGCATTAATCTTTTCCTGAAGGAAACAGGGACACTTCCCAGTAGACATTTAAATGAAAAAGCAACAATGAGCTCACACATTGTAAGACACCCAGGAATCTGCACAGAAAGGAAAGCTTAGGAACACAGAGTGCACAAAAACTTCCCAAGCCATATTTACAAGACAAAATCATGGGCCATCAGGCTTCACTCCTCCTAGCACTCCTAGGATTGCATGATTGAATATAATCCCCCTCCATGAAACTAGCAGAGCCATGGTAGATCACTGACACTAAAACAAAAACAGAGCATCTACAGCATTAAGAGGTGGTAAAAAATGTTCCTAAAATTAATTGGAATAAAGAATAACAGGACTTTCAGTCCTCTGGTGGTTTTAGAAAGCAAGACTTATTTTGTTTCGGTGGAATGCTACAACTCCACAAATTGAGATGTCATTAAGAAAGCCAGAGAACAAGCAACATTTTCCTTTTGTCCTGTGTCGAAAAAGGGACATTTCAAGCAAAAAAAAAAAAAAAAAAAAAAAAAAAGTGACGTTTTGATAAAGAGTTCTACAAACATTTCAAGAGTGATCAACAGAGAAAATACAAATCTGCCTTTTGATACCATCAAATCTGCTTTTGTTATTGGAAAACAGCCAAAACAACATTTTTTAATAATCCTGAAGTGTACCTTTAAAGTATTTATTTTTCCTTGCCAGTTTAAATTACTCAAATACAACCACAAAGTTACCCTGGTCTCCTGTTTTACTGATAGATTTGACGTGCCTCAGTTTTCCTCAGTGGATTTCCCAGGGTTGCAGGCAGAAAGTTTCAAAGAATGAGGAGCAGGAGTTAACTCTCCTGGTTTCCTGTTGGGTCACTTAATGGAGGGGCCATCCTGTTGGTGTTGCACGTGTGCATTGTATAAGTCCTTCGGGAACCCAGGGGAGGGGACATGTGCGTGTAGACACTCAGACATCCAAATGAGCCACTCCGTGTCACAATGCTGCCATAATGCATTTTTCCATAGGACTTCTGCCAGAAATTAACAACTAGCAGAAATTGTACATTATAATATGTTCACAAAAATATTCACACTACACATATTACCAGGTTTTGCAGCCATTGGATTCAGGAACAGTGAGAGCACCAGGATTAAAATCACAGAATTTGCAGAGCAAATCTTCAATCATATGCAAATACTCCATTTAATAGCTCACCTGTCTGTATAATGATCAAGTATACTAAAACAAAAAATAATTTACAAACCAAAATCAAGACCTGTATTGTTGTCACAGAGCTTTTGTTGAAGATAGATCATCTCACTCTCACCACAAATAGACTTTGCTGAGGTGACCAGTTCAGTACAATACGTGTAAAAGTTTGTGCATACTTAAAAGCCAGACAGGAATCTAGATGGTCTACCTATAGAGGTTAGTCACCCCATGAAATGTTTAAGTGCATCACTCCATACTAAAACCCTTAACAAATCCATTTTTTCGTTTGTCTGTGGACTGAATTGCAAGAGAAGGCTAATCAAAGGTCTCTAAATCACATGGGTGCTGTGGAAAGTTATTAATTTATAGCAAGTGCTTTGAGCATGTACTGCAAAGCTGCTATTCAAGTTCTATGCATTCAGCAGGTCTAGTTTTGCTTAGAAATTCTTGAACTCTCGAGGAACCTGATCCGAGTTTCGACTGTAAGAAAACTTGAAACCAGTTGAGATTTGTGTGGCCTCAGGTTTCATTGAGTATTTAGCGTAACTGATAATGGGCCCTTCTCATACACATTCCATCTCCTAGAGTCTCTTGTTTTACTTTTCAATCTAAGCAGAATAAACATGTGGCACTGCTTTTGCAAGAGAAGTGTGCCCCTATCAAGTTACTCTAGATATCCTAGAGATTCATGTGCTTCTTGCATTCTAGGCCCAGCTAGTCCAGACATTTTTGATACTAAAACTGTAGCTTCATTAGGAGCATCCTGTTGTATGGCCACACTGTTGAGCAAAAAGCCCTACATAAATATATACCTTGTTGTCTGAAAGAGTGATACAAGTGAATTGAGTTCTGTTGAGCTATAAGTACGGGGCTTTTAATATCCTCATTTCATCTGTCTTCCATAAAGATCCCTTAAGAGCCTTGGGGAGTGTGGGGAACCTTTAAAAAGCTCACAGAACTGAACCTAGAACCTCAGACCCAAAGCCAGCAGCAGATTCCCATTGAGTCACTGCTTTAGACTTTGTCACTCAGCTGACTCCCAGCTACATACCCACAGCATTACAGCTGCATTTCTGACTGCCCTGCTACAGCCAGGATGCACATTTTGCAGCCTGCCTGCCCCCATCTTAATCTATCTCTGTTTAGAGAAGACATTCAGTTGAGTGCTGAGAGTATCTCAGTTAACACAAAAGCACAGAATGGTACATTGTACCTTAACCACAACCACCTAAAACTCTCACAGAGAATAAGCTAACACAAAGTGCATCAATGCTCATATGTTACTGAAAAGTTCAGTCAGACTTAGGGATGACTCTTTAAGTCATCCTTGTGCACCACAGCCTGGGGGAGGGAGGGAAAAAATGCCAGAGGCAAAAAACATGCCTTTTTAGCAGTAATAACATCCAGCTCAATGCTAGAAACTTTGGCATATCCAATATGCCAGTGAAGTCCAGATTAAACAGTTTTTCCATATCCATTTTAGTAATTTTGCATCTCTGCTTCTCAGGTTTGCCTCAGCAGGTCACAGCCAGCATTTTATAAAACCTGTGTATGAGTGGCTTATATTAAGATTTTATTTGGATGCTAAGATCATGTAATTTTGAAAAAATGTCAACTACAAATACATGACAAGCTTTTCCTTCTGTAAACCAAATAATTTTGCTGGCATTTTTCTACCAGTTATAAATATCCAAGGCAAAAGATGGGAGAATATTCTGCACCATAATTAAGAATGAGCAAGCCTCCATAAAAAAATATATGTTCAATGAATCACACAGGTATCTTTGGCATCTCTGTTTCTCTACAGGGTGCCCTTCCTCAAGCCATGCTCCCCTGACCAAGCTTCTCCTGCTAGGAAAAGCCATCTTCCAGAGAGCCATAAGACCTCAATCTCACAGCACACTCTAAATCAAGCCCTCCTCTCTTCCTACAAAGCCTAATTCCTACCATCATTTTTGTAGCAAGTAGTCCTTTATTTCTTCCTATTTAAGGTCAGCTCTCCTTACAAGTCTGCATACAATAGAATCTTCCTGAAAACTTCACCACGTGATGATGATTTCTTCTCCTCCTTATACGACCTTCCCCTGAGTGTTTTTATTCCCCACAGCTGTGCTCCTTCCTGCACCCTCCTGTCTGCTTTCTACCCCTGCTCTGCATTGTTTGCTTTTTTTGAACCCCATCCAACCAGAACAATTTTCTGTACACAGAATTTATGGTTTTTCCTTATTCCTTATTACTCTTCTCACCTCCAACGTTACCAAACTTCCCTGAACACATTAAAAAGTTCAGTTGAAAAAGTTAATAGGAGCAGCCCCATTTGGACTTCTTCTAGAACAAAGTTGATGTAGAATGGTTGTTTGCAATCTGCCGTCAAATAGAGGGAAAACTCATCTGATCTGAAGCCACTGGACATAATGAGGAAATATTAAAAATTATTAACTAAGAAAAGCTATGAACCTCTGTAGCTTAGCTATGGCTTTGCAGAGCATTAGCCTTTCCCACAGCACAGGCAGACACTCTAAAATTCCAAGGGAGTGATAGGCATAAAGAAAAATATTGGGTTTGAATTAGGGTCTTTTGCTTGTATTCCTCTACTAAAATTAGGAGCCTAATTTGAGACATCTGGAAGTTGCTTGATTCTCTGCTAAATTCAATCATTCACCTCTGACAAAATCACTACCCTTTTTGTATGCTCATTTGGGGTACCTAAAACAGACACAAATAAAATGTGTCGGTCACTTTAAAATCTTTATATTATAATGATCTGAGATGAGAAATGACTGGCATGGGTCCCTAATCCCATAGCCTCTCAAAAACTGAGGTCCCTAATAACCACACCAGTTGTAGTTGAGATGATTCATAGATTTTCCAATCATTAAGATAATTCAATCTGTTTGAGTAACACAATACTTAAAGTCTTACATGGTAGTTTATGCAGCACAATGGATCACAAACCACACAGTAATTTTACTATTTCTAGAACAAAAACTAGTTAAGTGACTAAAACTGAAGGAAAATAATTTGTAAGGCACACACAGTTAGAATTGCCTTCAAACGGATTGTCCTTTTACAATGACTGAATCCCATCACAGGAGTTCCTGAAAGAGTATTTTTAAAAGTCATCTGACTCCAAATTATAATCTTTCCCTAATCTCAGATTTTAGTCTGCACACAGTCCCGCTGGGGAGGGACAAACGGATGAAGTTTCTGCACTCCCCAGAGGGTGCAGTCTCGGCAGGGCAGCTGTGTTGCAGCGAGGGCTGCTCCAGTGTGTGTCGCAGATTCCTTCTGCTCTCCGCAAGTTCTGCCACAGCAAAGGCGGCCAAGCGGGAGAGGAAGAATGTCGAGCTTTCAGCAGAGGGAGGTATTGACACAGCGTACAGCTCTGTGGGAGGGGATCTGAGACTGACTGCTTCGGTGCTTGGCTGCGCTCAGAGGCGATAAATCCTTCCTCCAGCAGTTTGCTAGGGGCTCTTTTTTACTTTTTGTTGTTGTTGGGGGGCGGGGGTGTATTGTTCTTAAAAAGGAATAGCCCTTAAACAGCTTATTCTTCTTTTTGTGGAAGATGAGCTGCATTCTGTTGATGAAAAAGAAAAAAAAAAAAGCATAAATGCGAGGGTGGGAGCAAAGGAAATACAGACATAAATTTAAAGAGAGAAGCCTTTGGCCACCAAAAATAGCCCCAACAGATAGTGTAACCAAAGCCTGACTAGTGCCTACACTGTCAGTGCGGCGCACAGGGCAGAGTTACATAATATTTTCCACATTTATTTCAAGCGGGGCAGGCTGCCAGCTTGATAGATTTCTAGAAAGGGTGGGAGAGGGAGAGTGGTTTGATTCACAGACTGCAGTATTTACAGCTCACCCCAGAGCCACTGCCTTCCCCTCTTTGGGCGTTTACCTTCACACTTTGCCAGAGAGCAGTGTGAGCATAACCCTGATATAGAATGCAAGTCACCCTTGAGACTGCCTGAAGCACCACAGCTGCACAAGTTAGCTCAGTTTTAGGGCTTCCAGGGTGCTGACATGCAGCAGCTTGCTAGAGCTCAGTCGTTGTCAAAGTCCAGAAGTGAACAGTAGGAAAAGCACCTTGACAAAAATAAAGAGGGAGGGAAGCTTCAGCTTCTGATCCTTCCCTACCCAAACTCCTACAGGCTTCAGAAGGAAAAGGTTACCAAAAAACTGTAGAAACAGAAATTAATCTACTATCAATGAAGTTTAGAACTGGGCATAAATCTACAAAAGATACATGAATTTTCTCAGAAGACAGGGCAGCTCTTTTCAAGTGCCTGGATGAAACCAATTTAGTTTCCTATGAGAAATTTACTATTGAAAGAAATTCAAGAACAGTCATACAAACGACTACATGAACAGTTCTGTGTTATGTGTGACAGGATAATCCATAAAACAAAGCATTGGCCTGCATATTTCCTGCATTTATTCTACATTTTCTCTACATGTGGCAGGTTCTCCATTGGGACTTCTCAAATACCTCATTAAGATTTGACTGTTGCTGGCAAGCAATAACATTGCAGCTTCCCATCAACGATAGACAGGAAAAACTTACCAGAAAAAATGACAAACAAAAAAGTCTGTTTGTTACATCCAGTTTGCATGAAGGGAAAAAGGAGGTGAAAGACAAGGAAGAAATAGAACACTGTTACCACCGTAATAAACCCAGTATGCTGTCCATAAAACAGACTACAGAAACCAGAGGTTAGGACTGCCCTTCTCCCTCCCATCCATAATGTATGTACAGAACCATATATGACTTTGTAGCTTTATTTGAAGGAGATTAAATGGGAAAATGAACTGAGCCAATTCTCAGGAAACTAGAAGGTACCTACACAGCATAAAAGTTGCTAATACATTTATGAAGAATATTAGTAGTGGTACCATTAAATCAAATTCTTACTCCAAAGTAAGTTGCTCTGACCACGGCTTTAAACTAAGAAAATAAGAAGAAGCCAGCTAAATGACAACATGTTATAATTTTAACCTGCAAAGAAGAGATATTCCCAGACTAGCATGAAGATAAAACAAAAGAAGAGTTCATGAAACAATGCCATAATGTCAAGTGAGGTGTTATATTTCCTCTTACTAGTAACATTGTGTGCTTTTGAGACTAATGCCTTCAAGCATAAAATCATCCTCCAAAACAAACTCTCCTTTTAATCTGTCTCACCAACAGTTTACAACTGGAGCTTGCTAGTTTTGGTTATAGTGACCTCCCCCAAAATTGTAGGGGGTAGTACATCTTTAAGAATAATTTTGTTTCCTATGACTGTGCTTAAAAGGAATTCCTCCATTTCTTTTCTATCTTGGATGACATTTTATCATTTCCACATTTTTTTCCAGCCCAAACTTGCCACACACACTGGCAAATTCTATAAACTTACCCAAAGAGAACTCAGTATCCTGTTTTTCCCCCCTGGAAAGAAGCCTGATTTGAAGAAACAAAAAAAATAGTGTTGAACTTACAGGATCAGTTGTGAGCTGATGAAGAAAAAGGCATACTAGTATTTGGAAAAGGGTAACTTATTCACAAACTGATAAAAAAAAAAAAATCATCTCTAACACAATAAGCAATGAGATTATGTCACATCATCCAACTGCAACAGTTTTTTTCCACAATTGCCATTCATTGAGTTTTCTGAATATTTAAAGATTAAATGACGAAGAATGGCAAGAAGGAAAAATAGAAGCAGAGCCAGAAGTTTGCTTGGGGTGAAAACACAAAACCAGAAAAAAAAAGGAGAAATGGAAATTGAGATGTTTGAGGAGTGCTGAGTCAGACTCTGGAGAACAGGGAGTGACTAGGACAATAGGCTGGGACACAAAGTTGCTGGTTCAGTTCCAGACTCAGCCACAAACTCTACAGCAAGCTCTATTATTTACTTGGAGCCTCAACAAACTAGTGGTAAAGGGGACAAAAGAGGACAAAATCTTCTGTCTCAGGGAAGGCCTAATTGTGACTACAAGGCATGAAATCCCTTGGATGTATGATCATCATGCTCTGAATATGCCAGGAGCATCCCTGTTGGGCTCCAGGCTGCAGTGTGTGACAGCCCCACACCAAAGCCAGTCAGCTCTCCTGAGCACCACTGCTGCCACCCAGCATGAAATTATTGTCAGGTGGGAACATGCCCTGCAATTCCAATGCCAAGTTTGGGGTCACCATATTGGAGCTTCCTAAATACTCACAGTAAGGTTTGCCAAAACTCAGGTTTTGTGCTTCTGCTGCAGAGTCACACTAAGTCATGGTTCTCTTTCTGGAACTTTTGGGACCTAATATATCTGCTCTGTGACATACTCTGCTATGTAGAAGTAAAGCCACACACTCAAATGATTGGCTCAATCATCCAGTAAAAGGAATTTAAAAGTAGAATATACACAGTACTATTTCTCCAAGGGAGAAGAATTATCAGCCTGTTTCCTAAGGCATTAGTAAATATGTTGCACACTGTAAATGCACATTTTCCTTTGCTTTTGGCTATAACTAAACAAAAATTATTTAATGTTTGATTTGCCTCCTGCTATTTCAGTTCTTTGGAGTTCATAGTGTGTGCTATTTGGGAAAGGAAATTCAAAATCTCTATCTAGACCGGAGGACATAGTCAAGCACTGCAGTTCCCAGGGGAGGGCACGGCCTTGCACCACATCCTGAGAGCACCCTGGGGCAGGACCAGCTTTCCTCACCCATCCCAGCTGCCACCTGACCCTCCTCAGGAGTGGGGTGCAAGGAGAGCCACGCTGATGTCACAGAACACGGGCAAGCAGGAGCAGCTGAGCTGCAGCCCCTGGGCTGCACCCTGAGCCCTGTCCCTGACACAGCCACAGTGCTGGGACACTGGGCACAGCGCTGGGTTTTGATGTGGCTGGATAACATAATCCACATTTACTGCAATTATTGATCTAGGCCTTTCTATTTCAACCATTACAATATTCTGTTAGCCCAGAAAGCAATTACAAGCTTTAATTACCTTCTAAACTTGAGGAAACCACTTCAAAGTTCACAGGCAGCCTCTTTCTTTTAATTTAAAATGAATTTGGGTTTTTCCAGTGGTGTGGAAAAACTCTTTTGAAGGTAGTCCTCTCTGTTGAGGCTGGTTTTCAATTATATATTTATTTTAATTACAAGGTGATATTACTAGATTAAGGATTATTTTGACATGGTGCTATAAATGTGTAGAGCAATTCAAAACCTATAAATCAGAGCAGCTGAAAAGCACTTTATTGACACAGTGTAGCAAACTGGCAAGGGCTCTGAGTTTCCACTGGAACTATTGTGTCATGAGAGTTCTCCTCACCTTGTGAAAATGAAGGACAGTCACTTAAATACACTGCTAAGGGATTAAATATTGCTATAGGAGATAATTTCAACTTGGTCTGCCATTAGCAAGTCTACAAAGCAATATGATAAGTTGTAACTCAGGAGGCAAGAGGGTTTTTTTTGAGAATTGAGGCAGTTTTGCCTTAGACATGACCAAGATGTCAGTGGCTTTGTCATTCCATGTTTATCAGGTGGCTGCTAGCATGACTCCACCACTACCTAGAAGCATGGGGAGATCTCTGCAGTACAGTCAACCACAATATAAAACTCCTCAAATCTAGAATGCTTAATGTCATTAGTGCACAACCACAACAAACTCACCAAGTAGTATCTGAGCAAGATCATTTTAGAGTGGTGTTCTCCAGGAAGGCAAGTCCTATTTATCAACACTGACACCACACAAGTATAATTTCCACCTGAATTCTGCCACAAGAAGAAAGGAAAAAATTATCTTTTCTGAAACCAGTGATGTTATGTGAAGACACACAATTAATAAACAAGTTACTCTTGCAGCATTATCATAAACACAAGCTGTGTGCACTGTAAAACTGCAGAAAACTGCCTTTGGCAAGGGGCCTCTGGTCTAAGCAAATGTACTTTCACACCTACATCTGTGCTGAGCATTAAGGGGTAAGGTGAGAATGTTGGTTCCTAGAGAAATGTGACATTTGTATGCCTCAGGAGCTGGGGTTTGGTGTAAGCTGGTCATCCTTACAAATGGACAGGGCCATGACTGGCCTCCATGTGGATTCACTGTGTTACTGGATTAGCAGGAATTACAAAGCTTTTCACTGCCCAGTGCCTCTCGTGCACAGGCACTGGGCCTTTTCCCTTCTGGGCCTAAAGGAACAGATCTTCTCCCAAAGGCTGTGCTGGCCCTGGCATCATCCCACAGAGGAGTCTGGACACCCTATGGAAAGGGTCTTACGTATTCAGTAGGTATTCAACACATACAGAACATTCCAGAAAAAGATATAGCAACAACAAAATACAAATCCACTCCTTAATCAGGCATAGTCTTCTCTCAGTCTGACTTAAAATGTTACATGTTTTCTTTAATTAGGGTTCTCTGTAGGGAATGGACCAATATGCCAAAAGACAACCAAAAGAGAACAATGCAGTACAGAAAACAACTGAAAATGGCATAGATATATGAGTAAGTTAAGTTATAAATCTCCCTTCAGCTTTGTACCCACCAAGCATAACCCAGATACACTCATTTCTCCTGGCACAAGATGAAGGTT